TTTAACTCTACGCGCTTGGAATTTAGATTTAAAACATGATGTAAAATATAATTCGTGTCACTTTTGAAGTGAATAATGTTCAAGTTTAACAGCAGACACAACAATTTCATCTTGAAGCTTTCAGATATTTAAATGTAAGAAACAATGCTTTTTACGTCAGCATTTTTTGTCTTTTTTCTGAGTGCAGAGAAATTCAGAAGTAAGTGTTGCTCTTAGTCAGACCTGGGTTCCCTTGAAGAGGATTTTTTTATTTATTTGAATGCGTGGTCTGGTTTACGTAATTCGGCGAGGCCCTCAAAGCTTCGACTGCGAGGTGGGTGCACACACGTGTCGTGTGACCTGGGTGCCGGCGCCCGCCCTCGTGACTGGTAGCTGCCACCTGTTTCAGGAGCCATTGGTCGTCTTTCCTGGCGGAGTGGGGCTGCATCGTTAGTGACTTTGAGTTTTTCTCTTTGTCTGAGCTAAGTGACATTTAAGTGTTAGTGAAAATTCCGCAGACATCAGAGCCAGCTTCTGCTGAGACTCGCTCCTCAGTCCAAAATAAAATTATGAGCACTTGTGTGGCTTTCAGAGAAAAGCCATTAGTAATCATTCCCGCAGGGCCACGTGTGGGCTGGCAGCGCAGCTGTGAATGAGGTGGAAGAGGAAGCCAGCGTTACAGCTAATCACAGTCTTTGTCCTCACGGAGCAGAAATGAATCCTTAATTTCAGCAGCCTTCAAATCCTGTCATTAGGGAAATGGCTGAAATGTAGACTCAATATGCTTTCTTTAGAAGTAAACTTTGAAAAAGTGAAAAGGACCCAAGAAGCTGGGCGACTGTCAGATCGCCAAACTCTGTGCCCTGCTCTCTCCGAAACTGACTTGACCGTGTGTCTCTGTGCGCGTCCCAGAAGTTGCTGGCATCTGTCACGCCCGCCTGGCACTGCCACCGGGGCTGCTGTCGTTCTGCCCACACTGACGCCACTAGTGACTCCATGAGCCCCTGACCTGTGCCCTTTCTGTCCAGGAGACACGGCTTCCTCCCAGTCACATGCGGGGACATGTTTTCACAGGTGGAATTTGTGAGTTGACCCCCCCCACCCCCGTCCACAGCCGCCTCACCCAGACACGAGACAATACCAGGTTCAGGGCGGCCAAGAGGGCAGGCGGAGGCAGCCTGAGCGGAGCCTGAGGTGTGTGTGCGCCTGACGGGCGCCGGCAGACCAGGTGCCTCTGACGGCGCAGGACCTGGGTCAAGAGGCAGGTGCAAGGTGCCCGGCAGTTTGAGACATGCTTCTGCGAGCCCGAGGGGTCCCCTGGGCTGGGACGGAAGGGAATGGATCAGACAGTGGAACGCGCCCACCGGGAGCCCAGGGACACACGGGCGCAGGTGGGCACGGGACGTGGTCCTCGGTCGTATCGGTCGGATTTTGAAACCTTGATTTAATAGCAAAAGCCTCAGATTCCACTCCCATCAGATGAAAACACGTCATCCCGTCAATGAAAGGAAGTGCGTGTCCTCTTCAGAAACCGAAAGGAAGGGAGCTTCTGCGTTCAGAGCCAGTGGCCATCCCTGATGTGACCTCAGGGCAGTGACGTGACGTCCCGAGGCCTCCATCATGCTGCGCCAGCCTTTCCTGCCGTCACTGCGAGCGGCCGGGCCGGAAGTGAGTCACAGAGGCGGGAGTGTTTGCAGACGTGCACCCAGATTATCACACAGGTCGCTCTGCTGCAAGGTCAGCCAAGGTCAGGCATCACCCAGGGGCAGGCCAGGCAGGGCAGTCTG